CATGTCCACTGAGTCAGTGAGACCATCCAACCATCTCATCCTCTGTCGCCCCCTTCTCCTCTTGCCCCTTACCCCCAATCTTTTCCAGCATCAGGATCTTTGCCAATGAGTCGGCTCTTTGCATCGGCAATCTTTATAAATAATTCCTTTGGGAGTTTCCCTACTCCCCATTTGGATTAAGGAAAGGAAATATACCCTTCCTTAAATACCCTCCCTGTCATTCCCCTCTGCCCCTAAATTTAGATTTCCAAACACTCTCTTCCCAATCTCTTTCTATGGGCTATAGAGGGACTGGTGCTATGGAATGAAAATGGAAAAAGAATCACATGATTAGGTGTGAGAGGCCTTAGTAGGGAGGATAAATATCTATAATAAGAGATGGGATTTGGAAACTGCAGATAAGAGAGAGAACTGGTCCTGCTGGGGACTAGATGTAATTCTCTGTTGCCAGTTTATCTCATTTTCTTTCTCTGCTTCCTCCATTATAGCAGCACTAATTACAGGCAGGGAAGGTGAACCCTGCATAACTAAATTGGATTATTTTTATTGTTTCCACAGGAACCACACCATGTGGGGAATGTTTGTTCATGAACTATGCTGTGTTTGTATTCATTTCATTCAATTGTCCACAAGAGTGATTGAGTTTTATGTCCTACAACTTTAATGCCATGAAATATGCTTAAAGTACATTGATTTTAAACAGGATATGAATTTTGAAACTCCTGAGCTTCCCACTTCCTCATGTTCTGTCATTATTTTATTTAGTTGATCTCCCCTCTTGATCTCCATTGAGCTTTTAAAAAATATAAAAGCCTGAAGGCCGTTTACAAACCCCTGGTCTCAGCCTTTCCCCCTGGTGACCACTCCCCTGCTGAGGAGTTTAATGCAGTGGTGCTTCTGTTCAGATCCTAGGAGGGAACAGGACAAGAACACTGGAGTGGGTAGCCATTCCCTTCTCCGGGGGACCTTCTCAACCCAAGGATGGAACCTGGATCTCCTGCATTGCAGGCAGATTCTCTACTGTCTGAGCCACCAAGGAAATCCCGAACGGGCAGCAGGCAGTGGAAAATCCTGGTTGGACTCGGGACGTATGACCCTGTCCTCTGCAGCTGGAGTCGACAGTGCCACCATCTCCGAGGAGGCTGGCTGCACCTAGCTGCCAAGTATGTTGTGACCACGTGGCCTAATGGATAAGGCGTCTGACTTCGGATCAGAAGATTGAGGGTTCGAGTCCCTTCGTGGTTGGTTCCATTTTGTTTAAGAAAAAAAAAAAAAGGAAAGTCATGCCTTAACCTGAGTTCACATTCACGTACCACCACTTTGGGAAGTTGCTTCCCTGTTTCTGCCCCTCCATTGTGTGTGACTTGTACAATGGCAATAAAAATACAACATCCCTAACAGGGCTGATGGATTAGCTGAGATAATGCCTGTAAATCCCTGAGGGAACTGCCTGAAATATAATAGTGCTTAATAAATATGACATGCCCTTCTGAATAAGGGAGTAGGGTGGGGTGGGAGTGGAGAAGGAACGTTCTTAGTGAATGTGGACAGAATCATTACAAATTCTCTAAGTACTGTAGCATTTTTGTGGACTGTGCTGTCTCCAGGAGGGATATATAGCTTTTCATTAGGTCGGAGGGCCTTCTTGGTGAAGAAGGAAATTATCTCATCCGGGTTCGTGTTCCGCGGTTGCAGCGCCTGCTGATGTTGATTTAGTTCACTTAGCAAGCCACACACCACGCTGCCGCGCTCATCGCCCTCCGCATTAGCTTATTAATCCTCGAGTTATTCCTCTACGGTTCAAGGGCATATTGGCTTTCCAGCGGAGGCAGGAGAGGGGCTCCAGCCTCTCCATTTCCACAGAAATAATGGGCTCCAGCCAGGCCGAGAGGGAGTGGCCGAGTCAGCTCTGTCCCTCCTGTGCCCAAGGCGCTTGGAGGTTTCATTTACACTGAAGACTTTTTCTCCCCAGAGCTGAGGTTTCCCTTGGAGGCATTTTATTTGTTAAGCGAGAAGGAAGCCGTGGGAATCAGAGAGCAGAAACTGGACTGGTCATCGGCTTGGCGTTTAGTCCCTCCTGCTGTCCCGGCTCTGTGCGTTCTTAGTCGCTCAGCGGTGTCTAACTCTTTGAGACCCATGGACTACTTAGCCTGCCAGCCTCCTCTGTTCATGGGATTCTCCGGGCAAAAATACTGGAGTGGGTTGCCATTCCCTTCTCCAGGGGATCTTCCTGACCCAGGGATGGAACCTGGGTACAAAAATCGTAGATTTCCAGCCCTCATTTCCACCTCTATACTAGAGCATACAGGATCAGATCAGAAAGATCTCCATGTTCCCTTTCAATGGGAACACTCCAGGGTTCAAGCTTTTGGAGACAGGAGATGGCCTCTTGCGATGACCCTAAGATCTTGTTAAATTAGAGGAAAATTTAACTTTAGAATTTTCTTTGTAATTAAATAGTATTATGCAAGATTTGACAATGGGTCAAATGCGTCACTACGTGTCAGCAAGTAACAGTGGAATACTGCCCTGGGCATCTTTAGACCCAAAGGAAGATCAAAGCAAGCCATCAAAGAGGGTGTCTCTGCTGCACTGAGGCTGAGCATCCCACCCTGGGCTCACCTGACCCTTTTGGCTTTATCCAGATACAGAGGGTGGGGCTGCTTCCTGCAAAGCTTCCAGGCAGCTGCTGCCCTTGGAGCTGTGTGTCTGATGGATGCCAAAGACAGTGAGCTCATGGCATGGCTGCCTGGCCCAGCATTCGTCTCCAAGGGCTCTTCTCAGCAAAGGCGCCTCTCTCGGGCAAATGTACAGATGGTTTAGGGAGCATCTAGCTGAATCACCCAACTGTTCTCTGGAGTGTTGGTGGCTCGGTTCTACCCACCCCGGCACAGCACCCAGCAATGCCCAGGGTTATCTCTGGGAGCCACTCGTGGAAACCTGTTGCTGTTTCTCACGAACATCTCCAGAAGGCAGAAGCTCTGGAATGTGATTTGTGAGTCTGGGGTCATTGTCTCAAACGCTGCTTTCACTGCACTCTGAGTTTCTGAAGGAGCAGTCTCTGAGTAATTCTGCAGAGATTTAAGGCTGAGTCTTTATCCCTCATGGCCTCCCGTGAAGTGGGGTGGACTCCAATTTCTCTGGCCTCCCGACAGCCTGCTCTCCTGTGAGGCCAAGTTACTTGGCTATTCAGACTGGAAAAATCTGTTTCTGAAGGAAGAAGTGAGTGAGGATGGTAACAGGAGGAGGAACCTACCTCTTGAGCTTCTTGTGTGTTGATTACCTTGTGTGTCCAGCACTCCTGCTCTTATCACCGTCCTAGAGAAGAGAAAACTAGAAAACGGGAGAAACGCCTTTCTTGAGACCACAAAGCCTGTTAGGTGGCAAAGCTGGCTCGAAACCAGGAGGGAAGGTTCTGCAAGGGTCACCCGCCTGCAGCCTGGGAGAGACCGCAGTCTTACGCTGTGGACGGTGACTGCCCTCATGCGAGGCCTGTGGGTGCCCGTTCATTTGTGGGGTGCTCAGCTCTGGAAGCATCCTCAAGCTCCTCTTTGAGTCCCTTGAGCGGTGGTAAACCCTGCCTCAGTGCCGGAGAAGAAAAGGAGCCTGCAGGCGAAGCTGCTGCTCTTCTTGCAAAGGGGCTCCCCCATCACTCACTGTGCCCCCCCAAACAAACTTCAGAAAACCCCGCAGAGTTGGGGCCAAGTGCACCGACTTCTCTGAAAAAATTCACTGGCATCTGTTGTACCTCCTCCGGTCCAGTCTCTGTTTTCTCAATTTCAGATTTTTCCATAGGTCTTGATATTTTTTCCAAGTGGTTTTTTTTTTATAATGAAAATCATTTTTAAAAAATTAGTTCTTTCACCCTCGTGGTTTGTCATTTTGACCAGTCTTTTGGCAAAGGGGGAGGGCACACCATACAGCTTGTGAGATCTTAGCTCCTCAACCAGGGCCCTCAGCAGTGACAGAGTGGAATCCTAACCACTGGACCGCCAGGAATCCCCCCAAGAAGCTTTGTGTTAAAGTATCATGCTGTGATGGCCAAGCACTCATAGGTATGTGCTCAGTTGCTCAGCGGTGTCTGACTGTGTGACCCCAGGGACTATAGCCCGCCAGACTCCTCTGTCCATGGGAATTTCCCAGGCAAGAATACTGGAGTGGGTTGCCACTTCCTCCTGTAGGGGATGTTCCCGACCCAGGGATTGAACCCATGTCTCCTGAGTCTCCTGCGTTGGCAGGGGTCACCTGGGAAGCCCTAAAAATATGTATACATATGCAAAAGTGCCCTGGGCTCACCAGTGGCTCAGACAGTAAAGAATCTGCCTGCAATGCGGCCTGGGTTCCATCCTTGGATTGGGACGATCCCCTGGAGAAGGAAATGGCGGCCCACTCCAGGATTCTTGCCTGGAGAAGCCCACGGACAGAGGAGCCTGGCGGGCTACAGTCCGTGGGGTCGCACAGAGTCGGACACGACTGAGCGACGAAGCACACACAACACAGCAGAAGTGCCCGCATCCTAAGTGTGCGGCCTGAGGACTGTGTGTGTTACCACGGTGAACACTCTTGAGTTAAACAGCACCCAGCCCGCAAAACAGAGCATTACAACATCCCAGAAACCTCTGTCTGCTCCCCATCCACAAAGACGACACCTGTCTTGACGTCATCCACCATGGATCAGTTTTGGTTGTTTCTGCGCTTGGGAAGGACACTGCAAGTCTCTACATAGCAGACTAACACACATATGCTTCTCTGTGTTTGGTTTCTCCTGCTCGGCGTTATGTCTGTGAGATTTGCCCACAGTGCTAAATGAAGTTGTAGGTCGTTCATCCTCATTGCTATCAAGTATTCCACTGTGTGAATACAGCAGTTAACCCCTCCATTCTTCAGTTGATGCACAGTAAGTTGCCATTTGGGGGCTATTCTGATTGGTCACAAGCCTCAGTTTTGAAAAAGTATTTGGTAAAGCATCACAATAGGTGCTGAGTAATTAGGATTCCAGAATGATCACCCCATCATCAGTTTGGCTCCCCAGATGCTTGGGGTTGGCAGGTGAAGTCAGGGAAGACTGGGACGCCTACAGTGCCAAGTTTACTTCGAGAAGAACTGCATTAACAAGCCTAGGTGGGAAGGAATACGGGGTCAACTCACGCCCTGAGATGTTACCAGAAAGGAGCCCGACTCCTTCTGGTGGTCAAGAATCCTGCTGGTCTCAGTCCCGCAGGGAAGACCATGTTACAACCAAAAGTCTTTGAGACAATGAGGAATGTTATAATTAATGATCCAGATAACTCAAGTGTCATGACATTGTTGGAGGATGGGGACCTTGAGACCTGTAGATTACATTTTGAGGTAGAACTCTGTGACCACAAATTCAGTGCTGTTCTCTGCAGTCAATATTTCAGGGAAAGCTTGGCTGTAGGTGACCTGGAATGGCCAGCATTTTAAACTATGTATTTTAAGTTATGGGCATAGCTCCTAAGTAAAAATGACATAAACAAAGGATGTTCTAAAGGTCGTTAGTCTTTGGAAGATACCCAATTACATACCCGACCGTGTTTGGAAAAGTCGAATGAAGTCAGAGAATCTTCATTCAGAGAATCACCAGGAGTCAGAGAATCTGATGACAGCAGAGTGTGGGGACAGGTACTGTAAACCAAGGCTCAGAGATGCCGGATAACTCTCTGAATCATGTACACAACTACTGGAAACAGAAATGCATCTTTTATTTTATAAGATTTTTTAAATTTTCTTATTTAAAAAAGTTTTATAAAATGTGTGAAGGTTACACTCAATTTATAGTTATTACAAAATATTGGCTATAGTCCGTGTGTGGTACAATGCATCCTTGTAGACTGTCTCACACTTGTGGCCTGTATCACGCCCCTCCCCTCCCCCTCCTCAGTGAGGAGTGAAAGACTAGCAATCACTAGTGTTTTTAGTTTTTTGAGAAACCTCCATACTGTTTCCCACAGTCGCTGTGGGTGTGGAGCAAAGGGAACCCTGGTACACTGTTGGTGGGAACGTAAATTGGTGCCGTCACTGCCAAAATACCGATTTAAAATTATTGTAGTTTTATAAATAAGCTCTTCCTTTCTTCCCTGGTTTCCACACAATTTCACAAAGTTAGTAATAGGTATGAAATTTCTTTGACCTAATAGCATTAAAATTTTGTTTTCTGATGCTTGTTAACACATGATCATTTTGGCAAAATTGAACATTGAGAAATATATAAAGGGGAAAACAAAAAACACCCATCCCCCATCCAGTTGGCCTCTGTTCACATTTTGATAAACTCTTAAAGCCATCATGGTTTTCACTTCTCTCTCTCATGTAGTCCATTATACAGGGTCATACTGTATAATAGCAATTTAAATCCTCTTTATAACTTACTGTCATATTGTGAATATCTTCAAATATTATAAAGAGACTTGAAAAGCAGCATTTTTGTCTATCATATGGATGTGTCAAATTTCTTTAACTACTTCTTCCATCACAGTGGAGTACAGTACACTTCCAATTGATTTAACCAAGACATGGCTCCAGATTCAAGGCCAGAAGAATGATGCAAACTATAAAGAAATTGGGTATTGTGGGATGTTGCATGTGTTAGTGATGACAGGCAGAGAAGAAGACCTGAAAGTGCTGTATTCAGGGTAAGTAGACCCTTGTGTGTTTATACTTCTCTGCTGATCTTTCAAATGAACAGGCTTCACACTAAGACTTTATATAGAAAAAGTATAAGTTTGGGGTGTATTTGAAAAGAGCAAGTAATAATGGTTGATTTTTTTCATTGTTCATTTCAATTTTGTTTTCTGTATACACATTTTATGTAGTGAATATTGTGAAACTTTGTTTTAATTATTTTCAAATACAGATAATAATACAAAAATTATGTTTGTTTTAAAACATTCTGTAGTTTCCTTTTTCACTCTGAAAATAGCCGACCCCTAGGTTCTTCTGAATTACGGAGGTTTTTTTCTATAAGGAACCAACCTATTTAGCATATTAAAAAGCAGAGGCATTACTTTGCTGACAAAGGTCCATCTAGTCAAAGCTATGGTTTTTCCAGTAGTCATGTATGGTTGTGAGAGTTGGACAATAAAGAAAGCTGAGTGCCAAAGAATTGATGCTTTTGAACTGTGGTGTTGGAGAAGATTCTTGAGAGTCCCTTAGACTGCAAGGAGATCCAACCAGTCCATCCTAAAGGAAATCAGTCCTGAATACTCATTGGAAGGACTGATGCTAAAGCTGAAGCTCCAGTACTTTGACCACCTGATATGAAGAACTGACTCATTGGAAAAGACCCTGAAGCTGGGAAAGATTGAGGGCAGGAAGAGAAGGGGATGACAGAGGATGAGATGGTTGAATGGCATCACTGACTAGATGGACTTGAGTTTGAACAAGCTCCAGGAGTTGGTGATAGATAGCGTAGCCTGTTGTGTTGCAGTTCATGGGGTTGCTAAGAGTGGGACAGGACTGAGCGACTGAACCGAACTGAACTTGCTATAAGGAAAATGTTGCGGTATTCTCTGTGGATAAGAGGTGCAGTGGGCTTCCCAGGTGGCTCAGTGGTAAAGAATCCGCCTGTTCAGTCCCTGGGTGGAGAAGAACCTCTGGAGAGGGAAATGGCAACCTACTCCAGGATTCTTGACTGGGAAATCGCATGGATAGAGGAGCTTGGCAGGCCTGGCAGGCCCCAGTCCCTGATGTCACAAAAGAGTCGGACTCAGCGGCTAAACAACAGCTCCCATATTACGGCTGATAATATTACCCACCTTGCTGCATTCTGGGTTTCACTGTATCAGTTATAATAGATTCTCCCCAAATTATAATTTATACATATGAAAATACTCCTGTCAGTATAGTGTGGCTGTCTGTCTTCTTTCCTGTTTTCTCTAAGGGAGGAAAAACTGTGATTTGTGGGTTTTCCTTTAGCAAACATGTCTGTACACAGTGGTGGTGAGAATCCATTTACTAGAGTTCTCAGTTTAAAAAAGCCCGTGAATTTGCTACCCAGAATCCCATGCCGGCCAGGAGGGAGCTCAGGAGGTGAGTACCCTGTGGGGCTGGATGCAGTGTCTTGGGTCTCCTCCCCACTCCCCACCTGAGTGTTCTCGCAGGAGAAACCAAATCCTGTGTGAAACTGACAGCATGTACCACATAAAGTGCATGAATGCATTACCTGCCACGACGCTATCATGCTGTATTATCATCTGAGCTCGTCTTCTCCAACAGCCAGCCCGCAGCCCAAACAAGTGAAACCGATACCCAGAGGAGGGTTAGTTCCAGGGAGTCACGGCAGGTTAGAGGCCTAGCAGCTGCCCCTGAAAGAGGAGGAAAACTGCCTTCGTAGGAAGGTGGAGGGGGTCTCCTTGTTGGATGAGCAGGGGACACAACTTAGCTCAGGCAGCCTCGGGCTAATCCACTGTCCACAACCCAATTGCTCAGAGAATGCAGGAGAGTCCTAATGAGGTCTGAATGACCCCCATGAATTTTCCAGATTGTTACATGCTTTCAGAGCAAAAAATGTTTCTGTGTGTGTGTTTTCCTTTAAAAATTTTTTTGACATACAATACTGTATTAGTTTCAAGTATACAGCTTCAGATTCTTTTCCATTATAGGTTATTTTAAGATACTGAATATAGTTCCCTGTGCTGTATAGTAAATCCTTGTTTATATGCTTTGTTTATAGTGGTATGTATCTGTTAATCTCATGCTACTAATTTGTCCCTCCCTCTCTCCCCTTTCCCCATTGGTAACCTTAAGTTTCTTTTCCATGTCTGTGAAAATATTTTGTAACTAAATCCATTTGTACTATTTTTTAGATTCCACATATAAGTGATTTCATATAATATTTGTCTTTTTCAGTTTACTTCACTTAGTGTGATAATCTCTAGGTCCATCCATGTTGCTGCAAATGGCAATATTTCATTCTGTTTTAAGATTGAGTATTATTCAATTGTATATGTGTATGTGCCATATCTTCTTTATCCATTCATCTGTTGATGGACAGTAAGATTGCTTCCATATCTTGGCTATTGTAAATTGTGCTGCTATGAACATTGGGATACATTTATCTTCAAATTAGAGTTTTTGTCTTCTCCAGATACATGCTCAGGAGTGGGATTGCTGGGTCATGTAGTGACTCTATTTTCAGTTTTTTAAGGAACCTCCAGACTGTTCTCCAGAGTGGTTGCACCAATTTACATTCCCACCAACAGTGTAGGAGGGCTCCCTTTTCTCCGCACCTCTCTAACATCATTTGTAGACTATTTGATGGTGGCAGGGCAGGAATTAGAAGTCACTTATTCTACACACACACCTGCACACATCCTAGGCTCTCACTTCATGCTGGTGAAGACATGTAACCTTGACATGTGGACAAGCAGAATGCAGTGAGAGTTAAATGATTCTTTTCAGAAGAAGCTGTGGTCTCTCAGCGTCTGTGTCCTTTTTTGATGTGTTGAATCATATCACTTCAGCCCCAGGCTGCGCCCCTCTGTTTCCTACCACTTTCTCTGCTCCACCAGTATGCTAGCCTCTTCTCAGTCTCCCAATAGGATTGCTAATATTTGTTCAGGAACGTTCCTGCCACCTGGAGTCCTCTCTCTGTATCTTTCTCTTTGTTTCATTTCGGTTCACAGCAGGGTGCCAGTTTTCTCCCTTTCTGTTAATAAAAATTAAGCAATCAGTTTCCTTCCCCTCCATTACACTTAATTCCCTCTGTAACTCAATTATTATTGTAACTCTGGCAAGTGCTTTGCAAGGCAGATGGCAGGAAAGACACATTGCCAAAATAAAGGGCATTGTTTGCAGAGGAACATTGTTTACATGAAGGTGATGATGCTCTCCTTCCAAGGATAGATTATTTTTTCTGAAATCAAGTTCATCTTTAACTCTATTAATGTAATAAGCTTATGCACGTGCTGCCAAGGTTAATATAAGCACATGTGACGAATGATAGTAACCACTGAAGATGCTGGATATATACTATATTCCTTATTCAGGGGTCATAGGAAGTTAGGATAAACCTATTATATGATTTTTTTTTTAATTCCAAGAATAATAAATACAATGAATGCAGTGCCTTTTGCAAGTGCTGGAATATCTGATTTGTAAAAGTGTCCTAGATTGCATGCAATGTATTTGTCACAATGGACAGCAAGGCTGGCAAGTTAAAAATATGGTCGTTTGTAGCCAGACTCAAGAAGATGCAGTGTGGCCAGGAATGGCCAAAGGGTTCTAGCTCTAGTGCAAACTCCAGTTGTTTGATTGATTGATTGATTGCCAATGATGGGGTGGGAGAGAGATGTAGGAAGAGGACAGGGATCCTTTGTAACTTTCCTGACTCCTGGTGACGCCCGGAAAGAGGGGAAGGGAGACGTCCTCAGGAGATCCTCCTGCCCAGGTCAGGCCCTACTGGGTATCAGCAGCCTCTTTCTGTATTGTATTATGAACCAAAGTGAAAATGTTAGCCGCTCAGTCGTCTGACTCTTTGCAACCGCATTGACTGTAGCCCACCAGGCTCCTTGATCCATGGGGTTTTCCAGGCAAGAATACTGGGGTAGGTTGCCATTCTCTTTCCAGAGGATCTTCCTGCATTGTAGGCAGGTTCTTTACCACCTGAGCCACCAGGGAAGCCCCCATTGTATTAGGTTTGTCTATTAAATTAAGAGGCTCTTTCCTATGGTTCAGCTACAAAATTGATCTTCTTACGTTTATAATCACACAACATTTGTAATGCTTTCTGCCCTGTTTGTAGAAACACTTCCATTTCTTCCTGCCCCTGCCTTTCGGGCCTGTATCTAGCAATTTGTTTCTCGCAGAAAGCATGGGAGTTCCTGAACTAGGATCTCAGAATCAAGTCTTACTGGTGGAGAGGTCTGCTACCACATCTCCTGGCTTTAAAGAGAAGTTGGACACCTGTGTCCCATTAATTCACATAGTGGATGTGAGCTTATCAGGGCACATGAAGCTGGAGTGTCTGGCCAGAATTTCCCTCTCCTAAAACCACACGGATAAAAATTACAGAAGTAATTAATAGACAGAAATGTAACAAGATACATTTTCTTTGTTTTAGAACAGCAAGAAAACATATTCACTGCTGAAAAGCCAGAAAATATTAGTAAGCCTAAAAAAGAAAACCATTAAATCACCTATAATTCTACCCCATGGAATTAACAGCCATCAACATTTTATTATACCTCAACTGTTTTTTTATGCATTATATGATCTTAAAAGTGGAATTTGCCACACATATTCCATTGTAACCCATTTTTCCTTCAGTAGCATATTATCAGTGCTGTTTCCATTTTTTCTTTCTTCAGTAGCTTATTGTCAAAAATTCTGCTTCAGGGCTTGCCGTGGCCCAGTAGTTGAGAATGCACCTTGCAATACAAGAGACATCTTTGGTCCGGGAAGATCCCACGTGCCTCGGGGCAACTAAGGCCATGTGCCATAACTACTGATCCTGCGCTCTAGAGCCTTCAAGCTGCAGCTACTGGGCCCACGTGCTACAGTTACTGAAGTCTACCTGCCTAGAAACTCTGCTCCACAACAGGAGAAGCTGCTGCAATGAGAAGACCATTCACACAAGAAAGAGTAGCCCCAGGTCGCCAAAAGTAAAGAAAGCTTGAGCGCAGCAACAAAGATGCGCCACAGTCAAAAAATAAAGTAAATAAATAAGTCTTTTTAAAAAATGCTGCTTCAGAATCATTTTTAATGGCAACAAGGTTCTCTGCTACATGGATATACCATAATTTAACCAGTTCCCTGTGGTTGCACATTCAGAAAGGCAAGTAGCTATATATACTGCAACTGACTTTTCCATTGTTAAGACTTTGTACATTATGTATCTGTGACCCTAGGACAAAGTTGTAGAGGTGGAACTACTGAGTCAAAACTTACTGGAAATTTTAAGGATTTTGATATCTATTGCCAAGTGACTTCCTGAAAGGCTCTATGATACTTTGGAAATTATAATTTTTCAAGGCTGCATTCTTTTATGTTCAGTATGTGAAGAAGCACTGCTTGGATACATGTTTCTCGTATGTTCCATTCAGCTCTGTGGCCTGGCATCCTTGGCCCTGGGGTTCTTTACCAGCAATTGTAATTAGGATTCTTCTTAGTGCAACCAGTTTTTCAAGGTCACCAGTTATTTTGAAACGTATCCCTCATTTATCCCACTATTACCATGTTTAGCATTACAAATCAGTGGCCCTAGGCTTGCAATGGGATTCAGATGTCTGTTCTCTTAGTCATTTTCATAATTTATTTGAAGAATTTTGCTCAATATTCATAGAGCCAAATGTTCAAGCAGTTGATCTGCCAGGCTGTGATGGCCCTGTCACTGCACGTGAGGCCCCTGCGTCTGGGGCAGGACGGGGTGTGGGGGGCGGGGGGCTCTGAGAGGCACAATACAGGTAACGTTCTTTTGGCTCCATCCCAAGACCACAGCACGCAGATGGTGCAGGACAAAAGGCGTGCATGGCCCACCTCATTCAGCTGTTCCTCCAGCCTTCCCCTCAGCCCTCCTGGGTCTGTCCCCTCTCCCCCCATCTCTACTCCACCGCAGATTGACAAAAGGCCATGCTCAAAATACCCCAAATGTGGGTCCAGGGTGGTGAAGTCGAAAGGGGAGTGGTTTTCTGTCACTCAGTCCTCTCATTAGACTTTGTCTTCCCTCCCCTCTCCCAATGTCAAAGAAATAAAGTCCATCTAGGTGCCAACAAATCCTTCTGATAGAACGGTTGCTATAGCAACTTTATAGCAATGAATTCAGCAGCAAACCATTCAGTCGGAAGGTGTTGGCTCAGAAACTGCTCTGCGTGGGGCCCCACCTTCTTTTGAGACGAGATAGTCCTCCATGACCCAGAGTCTTAGTTTTGTTACTGTGTTTCAGGCACAATCCTTTGTTAAGGTGTTTGATTTAAGTGGAAATAAGACTCCCAGGGTGCAGCAGTGGGAGGGGGAGTGTGGAAAAGTGGGGTGGAGAATAGCTGAAAGACTGGAAAAATATGACAAATACAAGAGGATGATTTTTTAAAGGGGAAAGGGAGGAGGGAAAGCTTAAATAGCATCAATTCATTCAAAACCAGGTGCAGAAGAATAACATAAATCCTGTGCTCTGTGAGACGGTCAAACAAAATCAGGTCTATCTAATGTATGGGCTGGTTTAAAACAAACCTCATGTTATTATTAATATAATCCCTGCTTTGTAAGCCATGACATTTAGCCGGGTAATTAAATAATAATTGAATGAGTCTGCAAGGCTGAAAGGCATAAAACCAGGCAGAAAGGCATATTCCCCGGAGGTGATTTTGATCAAATATTGACTTACTCTTCAATATTAATGATGGGAATTTAACATTATATTTTATATTTACATATTAACTTGGTTTGAAAGACCTTTTGTAATTTATAAATTCTCAAGTTACACATGTGACTTGAATTAAAAGCACAAAGGAAGAACGTAGGGGATGGGGGACGTGCAAACACAAGGTGTATGTGGGGGTGGGGGGGTGGGGAGGTGGGCACACCGTCACTGCAGTTAGTCCTGCATCTGCTGAGGTCTTTCACCTATTGTGGTCTTCATGTCTGTGTTGTAAATACTCTGAATGTCCTTTTTTTTAAAAAATTTTTTTTTCCCATTTATTTTTATTAGTTGGAGGCTAATTACTTTACATCATTGCAGTGGTTTTTATCATACATTGAAATGAATTAGCCATGGATTTACATGTATTCCCCATCCTGGTCCCCCCTCCCACCTCCCTCACTCTGAATGTTCTTATTCTACAAAGATGCTCACTTCACGCTGGGCGGAAGTGGAGCTCCCTTTTCAAGCAAACTCCTTTCCCCTCCTAGCCTTTCCAGCAAGCCAGATAGAGAAGGGCACAATGTCCCAAACCCCGGGGGGTTGTAAAGGGTTAACAATGGCTCTCCAGAAAGAGTGTGCGTGTGTTCACACACACTCGCTGTGCTGTGCGTAGTCGCACAGTCATGTCTGACTCTCTGTGACCCCATCAGGCTCCTCTGTCCCTGGGATTCTCCAGGCAAGAACACTGGAGTGGGTTGCCATGCCCTCCTCCAGGGGATCTTCCTGACCCAGGGATCGAACCCAGGTCTCCCATATTGCAGGCAGATTCCTTACCATCTGAGCCACCAAGGAAGCTCAAGAATACGGGAGTGGGTAGCTGATCCTTTCTGCAGGGGAACTTCTTGACCCAGGAATCGAACCCGGGTCTCCTGCATTGCAGGCAGATTCTTTACCAGCTGAACTACCCATACAGACATAAGTTTATTTTAAATTTTACTGATATAAAGGATATATGGCAGACAATTTAAGAAGAAAAATAAAATGCAACATTATAGCTTCCTAAATTCATAGTCAATTTATTTTCATAGAAGGCTTTTTTTGTTTTTTGCTGAAATTTTGTATCTGTAGTCAGTCTACAGTTATCACTAATTTGTTCAGTGCTTGTAATGAACAAATAAGAATAGTCCTTAACACGAATGCTAACTGATATCTTTGTTTCTGTCGAGTATGATAAAAGCAAACCAACATGTCTGGTCGATGCATGTGAGTGATTTCTTTGCTGAATCAGGTTGTAGGTTTCCAATGCTGGAAGAATATTCCCTCAATGTTTGATGCTATTCACAACTTGATGGCTCTGCACATGACATATATTTAAGTTTAGTTCGCCTTATTAGCATTTTTCATCACATTCTTAAGTCTGAACATGGATAAAACAGTAAGTTAAGCCTTGATTTGTAGCATTTGCAATTTCCATTCTTATCCCAGCAGATTTTCAGCTCCCAATATGATGTCACCAAACACAGGGTTAAGAAGAGATGAGCAGAGGAACACTGTTAGACAGTATCGCCCTGTGTAGGCACAAAAATTTCAATAACCTCAAGAGCATAGCTAATAATAAAATGCAGTAAAATAATTAGGAAATGACCAGTTTTGAGTATTTATTGCTTTTAGTAAGCTCTTTAATTAATGAATGATTGAATTTTAATAATTGCCATATTTAATGATTGTCTCACAGAATTCCTGAAAATTTTGCACTTGACTCTCGGGAGCTGGGAAAGACTGGCTCCAACACACCGGTTCTCCTGGACCCCTAGCGTGCTCACCTCTCCTGGCAGCCTCTGTCTCGGGTCACGCCCAGGCTGCTCATACCCTCGCTATCCCCTGCCACCATTTGCACTCTGCTGTCCTCCACCAGGAAGCGCAGCACTAGCTCCCCGGGACCCAGCACCTGCTCCATGCTATGCCCCTTGAGTGCCTGGCCAGACCCTGGGGCTGTGCCCTGGGTGGCTTCTTAGCTGTCGTATCCTATGGCTGTTTCCCTCTGCCCTGAGTCGCCGCTGTCTGCAAATGTGCTTACTGCACGTAAGCACATTCATGTCCCCAGCCCTGCTCTGCCCTCTGCCTGACTCAAGACCCCCACCTACTTTGCCTGAGTTCCCTCCAACTGGCTGCACAGGCTCTGTTCTCTCCACAACTAGGGAATTGGAATTATTTATTTTTTTCTGCTTGGTGGCTCTCAAGCGTGTACTCTGTAAAAAAGGAGGAATGAAAGCTTGTATTTTCTGGGTTCCCTTCCAGGGCATGCTTTTCCTTGCTTGGGACACTCTTTGTCACAGTGGCAACCCTTCCCACCACTTTCAGTTTGGGCTACGCTGCTTCATTACTCTCAGATGGCATCAGAGGCAACAAGCTCAGCTTTCTAGCAGGTATATGTTTCAGGGATAAATCCAACCCCCTTGTGTGTATATGTATTAAACAGGAAGGAAATGGCATAGAAAGCCATTCTTATATTAGGCTAAACCCTTTTGCTTACAAATAAAAACTGGCTAAAGCAAGAAAACAAAAGGAATGTATTAGTTCATATTTAAGATGTCCAGAAATGAAGCTGGCTTCAGGTCAAGCTGGATCCAAGGGTCAGATGAAAATATTGTGACCTTTCTCTCTTATTTTCCATCTCTTTCTCCTGTCTATTGGCCTCATTCTTTCCTCCTACATTCTTTTCCTCCTCATTCTTTCCTAGGCGCCAGGAAAGGGGCCTCAATGGCAACTCTAGGCTGCCCCGGCCTCACTCAGCAACCACAGTGGAAAGAGAGCATGTATCTTTCCATGAACAGAAAGAAGGGAAGGACTTGCATTGGCCCTGCACTGGTCCTGCACCCAAGCCAGACTGGCCATGTGATTTCTGCTGGAACTGGCTTCTAGCAGGCGAAGAGGGAGGGTACAGCCGATGCTGTCAGTTACCCCCGCCCTGCCCCCTTGGCCCTGTCCCTTTCAGGGCTCACCTGCTACACATCTAAGTGTCAGGCCCTGCTTCTCTTTGCCTGGGGGCTTTGGCATTCAGGCAAGGTAGGCCAGAAGTGCCTGCCATCTGCCCTCAACCAGGGAGTTGGTGGATCAAGACCGCGGTCCTCTGGCCCTGCATGTGGGCCAAGCCTGGGTTCCCCAGGTGGTGTCAGCTCCATGCCCACAGAGCTCACTAGCTTAAAGACACAGCCTTGGCTGAATTCCTTCCCTCTCTTGTCTCAGGTCCTCACTCTCTTACCAGTGTTGGCTGGCCTTGCCTCATGAACAGACTGTGTTGCTAAGTCACTTCAGTCCTGTCTGCCTCTTTGTGACCCCCTT